TGTTTTAGTCTGGCAGGCAATTTGAAAAGACATGAGAGAACTCACACGGGTGAGAAGCCTTTTACGTGTAATAGATGCGGAAAATGCTTCAATCGAGGTGATGATTTGAAAACGCATCAGAGAATTCATACGGATGATAAGCCCTTTATGTGCAGTGAATGTGGAAAATGTTTCAGTCTAGCTAAAAATCTGAAAGTTCATCAGAGAACTCACACGGGTGAGAAGCCTTTTACGTGTAATAGATGCGGAAGATGCTTCAATCGAGATAATGATTTGGAAACACATCAGAAAATTCACATGAGTGTGAAGCCTTCCATCTGTGGTGAATACGGAAAATGCTTCATTCAAGCTTGCACTTTAGAGAAACATCAGAGAATTTATATAGGTGAAAAGCCTTTCATGTTTTATCAGTGCGGAAGATACTTCAGTCTAAGTGAAAACCTGAAACGTCACGAGGAAATTCAAGCAGTTGGAAAGTCTTACCAGTGTGAAAGCCTTTGTTCCGGGAATGCAGATGACAGAGCGCCCGAAGTTGAAATAGGATACCAACGTAGGGTTGATGATAAATATTCAAACCAACAGGAGCAGTCGGGAACACACGATGGAGATCAGAATAACATACAAGCAAATGAGACTGATTCAGTGGCGGACGCTGGAAGTGCAATAGTTCAAATGTTGATCAGGTAGCACGGACAGCAAGAGACGGAGATAGGACGTGGAAAGTAGAATCGCAGCAAAGTCAGGCAAATTTGACGGACACTGATATCAATATCAATTGCATTATGTATTGGGCTGGCTTGTAATGTTTACAATTTCAATTCAATAATGATTTTACTTGATGTCTGCTTTCTTCTTCTGAATGTCTCACGTTTTGATGTAAATTTTTATCGAAAATGAGCAAATTTTGGTGTTTGAAAATTGTTATCACGTTGATTGCCAATTTACTTCAACATCAATAACAATCAATAAGCCATTATGGAATCGGATTTCTTATGACCCATTAGCAACATTTTATTCTACTAATATTTCCGATCTATGTTTGTATTTCGTTTTTTCAACTGTTGTGCTATATTCTGATTAGTTTTTGTATTTTAAATTAAAATATAATCATTTAATCACGTTATGATTCAGAGTTCTTTAATAAGTGTTCCACGCTTTTCTTGACTTTTTTCCACTGCACTATACAATGCCTTCACATTTCCATCGCCAAAACCCTTAAAATATTAATGATTGAATTGTTGACAGTCGCAAGTTATTGTTGCATTTTGTACTTATTTTAGCATTCGCGAGAAAATAGCAAACTTTTTAAATAATCTTTGAATTTTGAAAATTTCGATTATTAGTTAAAATACTTTTTTACTGTCGTACAAACTCATATTTGTGGAGCGTTTTGTAAAAACTGCATCGCTTACTTAAATGATATAATATTTTGAAAATCTTGTGATAAAGCAAAACATCTTTGCATTAGTACGCTGGTGATAAAATATTTAATCATATTACTTAATGCCGTGCTAAGATATATATATAACACTGATATATTTACGTTAAGAATATATGATGAAAAATTAATGAGGCTTAATACAACTAAATATATTTAATTTCTATGAAAAGTTAATTTCATAGTCATTAATAAACGTACATAAAAGTTGTTTCGTTGTATGAGTTCGAAGAAAAGTGTGGGTCGATCTTGAATTGGTTGCGTAAATATTTGCAACAGATATCCGTCCGCATTAAAATCGACCAGGATTTGAAGTTTTTTGATCCAAAATTAAGTTGTTATAGATTATCAGTGATAAAAATAATCAAGGTATACAATATTTAAAAAGTTAAGAGATCAGATAACCTTTTCAAAACTTTCAGTGATTTTTACTGAAGAATTTGCAAGTCGTTCTTGCAAATCCTCATAATATTCATAAGGTATATCGACGAATTTTACACCGCGATACTTCATACGTTCAGCAGTTTCAGTTATATCTTCAACCAAAAATGCAACATGTTGCACTCCTGCACCGCTGTTATAATCCAGAAATTCCTAAAGTACAGAAAAACTACAAAAGTTAAATTTGAAGGATACAGTTTATTACTTTGGCTTAAATTAATTTGTAGCTCGTTCGCTTTGTCTTATATTTTTAGATATATTTTGAAATAATTCTTTTATGATTAAACTGGAAAGTACTGTACTAACTTGGATTTGACTGCGTACACGCAAAGTTTTTGGTATTGGTTCAACAAGACCTATTTGAATTGTTTTTGTATTATTTGCCAGCAATGAAATTTTCATAGCTGATGAATTTGAATTGAAGATCGATCCATCAGCTGACCTCAAGTTAAAGATAAATTAGTAAGGATAAAAAGTAAGCCATGAACTCTTAATAGTAAAATTGTCTTGTTAAACGATGAAGTATAAAAATGATAGCAATAACATTTTTATCAGTACTAATAACAACAGCAGCATTGATACTTAATAATAATTGATAACAAATAGATAATTTATAATAATAATAATAATAATAATAATAATAAT